AGAGAATTTACTACGTATGCCTAGTTTAGACTAATTCTTATAAGAATTAGCGAAATAATGAAAAATTACGAAGTAATCATAAATCCGATAGGATGCACAGGTATGCGTATGTTTATTGATGCTAGGATTATACCTATGGCTATGAATGATATTATGTTGATTAGAACTATCGAACCACTATGGCATGACTATATTTATGTTTTGATGCTCATCGTTGCTGCACCGGTGTTAGTGCTTGCCTAGGGCCAGGGCCAGGGCCAGTCTTTCACGCTCGCCTTGGATCCAAGTAAGTGTCAGTCTTGTTGTACAGGTTGCAATAGGCAACTCCGACTTGTATGTGACCGCGAATAGCGCCAGTCTTTACATGATTGTAGCACTAGAGCGTATATCATTATTACACATAGTCATGTTCATGTCAGAATAACTCTGCATGAACTCGTGTGTCAGCATGTGTCGATAAGCACTTGGTTTGATATGTTTGCTTATGCGAAAGTACACAATTACTAACGTCATGCACTTATATATGAACTATTGTGCCGTATTGATATCTTGATATTTTTCAGTCTACGGTAAGTATTTTCATACTATATGTAATATGTATATCTTGGAAACTATACATGTTTTATGGTGACGGGTTATAACGATTTCAAAGGTTTTTATTAAAACTTTATTTTCAGGCCCACTCACCCTTATTTTTCACCCCTCCATGTTTTAGTAGCTGAGTTTTCTTCACCTTTCAACAATCAGCTAGCACAACCCGATTCAGAATCTAAGTGGACATTCTGGGTCGGGATGTGTCATTGATATTATTGCTTTCACTTTTGATCTTGTATGTTGTATTAAGGATACAAGCATATCTCTCTATATAGAGGTTTTGATTCGACAACACCTTATATGTATGAAGAAAAAATTTCACTTCCCTAAGACTTTTTCACTTAAAACTTTCAATGGTTGTCACCATAGTTCATTTTGGTTTGCTTCTCCATACAATCATATGCCTAGTATTCATGCTATATTTTACAACATTCGGTATATGTTTTTTGTCTTTTTCTTTTGTAATCCAAGCCACATAGTAACTAATATTTTCTTTTACATAAACTAAAACTTGTTGGAATTAGTAAAATGAATTTAATCAAATAAAAATCTACAATGGTATATGCAAAGAGTTCTGTTTGTTACAAATTTTCAAAGCCTCGTAAGGGAAATTTGGGGATCTAAACCTAAATCCAAATCTAAATAGAAGCATCTCCTATCTTGTAAAATGTGAAGTGACAGTTGAAGGTCATAGTGGTAATTTCAGGGCAGGTAGGCCAAGCGATTTGCCCGGGAGTAATTAAGGGAACTTTAACGAAAAGCACCCGGTACTGTTCACTTTAACGAAAAACCACATTTTTACACTAAAAAGTCAATCCTGGTACTATTCACTTTACCCTTTATTTTGTCCTTATCATTAAAACTCAAAGTTTTCAAGCCTTTTTTATTAGTTTTCCATTATTTTAAAGGTACGACCCTTCTGACTGGCTCGATGAACCAAAAATAGGGCAAGCCAATTCACGAGGGAGTTGGACCCGCCCCATTTGGCTGTCTCAATATGTTGTCTTGTCAAGTTAGTCAGTGTGACGTGCAGAGAGTATTGTTTTAGGAATGAGATTCTGTTCCGAATCCTCTTTGTGAGATTTTGAAAATTCTTAAATCGTGTTTATTTATTATTTATTATACGATCAGTTTTTATCAGATACGGTTCATGTTTAATTTTAAATAAAAATATTAAAAATAATTTCTAACTGCATAATATACAATGAACGAATATCATTTGAAAATCTTTAAAATTCTCACATAAGAATCTAGAGAGGATCCTCATTCATGCTTTAGCCTGCGCTGTGCCAAACTTTGATGAGTGACCCAAAGTGACGACTGAACCAAAACCAAACAAGTAACCATTAGTTCCTCAGTTCTTCTTCACTTGCATAAAGCCAATGGGCATCTATCCAGTTACTACCATATACTTTGTTTGTACCATACTTGACCAATCCCGAAATTACTGAGCACTAGTCAACGTTATACCGTCAAGAACCAAGAAGAGTTTCCCTCCAACCAAGAGGTCAATCACAGTGCAACACGTGTCAACATCAGAAGCCAATCATAGCGTGACACATGTCAACATCAGAAGCCAATCACAACACGACACGTGTCAATGTCAGAATGAAACTAGAAACTCTCTTCTATAAATAGAGATCATTCTCTCACAATATTTCCTAATGTCATTTGTACTAAATCATTCACTAGTACTCACTAAAGGAGAGCTTGAACCTATGTACTTGTGTAAACCCTTCACAATTAATGAGAACTCCTCTATTCCGTGGACGTAGCCAATCTGGGTGAACCACGTATATCTTGTGTTTGCTTCCCTATCTCTGTCCATTTTCATACTTATCCACACTAGTGATTGGAGCAATCTAGCGAAAGTCACAAACTTAACATTTTCTGTTGTACCAAAGTCCTCACTGATTTTGTGCATCAACATACTCCAATAATGACTTGGTCACAACTCACAAGCCACACAGTATTATTCAGATTTTGCTAGAGACGATCGTCCATACAAAGAATTTTTATTGTTAATGAGACTTAAGGATGCTACACTGATGCAGCAGATAATATAGGAGAAAAGGAAACAAGCTCTAAAATATAATAACCCTTAATTCTTGTTGATTCTCACAGAAAATAATAGCCAAGAACAAAGGAAATCCATGCCTTGTTGATTCTTATTGAAGGAAGAGAATAAAACTCTTGCTTTTCTTTCACATTCAAAAAAAACTGCCTAGCCATCTAGGCTTACAAGTAAATATAAGATGAAAAAGCAGAACCCCAATAGCCAAACCCATAAATAATTCTAATACAATGCATCAATATGTATTTAGATATAAATGCATAGATGAATGCATCTTATCCCAATGTAATTGCATCATTCTCCCGGGGTTGAGAAGAATTTGCCCTTGAATTCAAGCATTCCTTCACTGCAGAACTAGCACTATGAAAAGGAATGGGGTGTTTAATGTTAAACACATTAGCAATACAAAGATGACTTGGAAGTTTGATGCAGTAGGCATTTGGATTTATCTTCTTAACAATCTCCACTAGACCAATCTTTCGGGTAGCCAATTTATTGTATTCACCTGTTAGAAAGCGTTCTTTAGTTAACACAGCCCACACAAAATCACCCACTTCAAATTCCACATATCACCACTTTATATATGTGGTTCGCTTATACATGGCGTTAGTTGCCTCAAGCCATTGCTTAGTGGATGTGTGAACTTGGTAGACGAAGTCTGCTGCTTTCATGTTAACTCGCTGTAAGTGAAGAACGGGTGCAAGATCAAAAGGAGTCCGTGGATTATAGCCATATGTAACAAAGAGTAGGCTAAACTCAGTACTTCGGTTGACAAAGTGGTTGAATGCAAATTTAGCCAGACTAATTTCTGATCCCATGATTTGAGATTATCCCCCACCAAACTTTTCAACAGATTTCCAAGAGATTGGTTGACAACTTTAGTCTACCCATCAATCTGTGGATGATAGGCACTACTAAAGTTCAAATTTGTGTTGGAAAGCTTCCATAAACATCGCCAAAAATGACTAAGGAACCTTGTATCCTTGTCAGATACAATAGATGTAGGCAATCCATGGAGACAGTACACCTCGCGAAAAAATAACCGAGCCACTTTAACAGCATCTGTGGTCTTTTGGCAGGGAATAAAATGTGCCATTTTTGAAAAACGATCGACGACCACATAAATAAAGTCCATACCTCGTTAAGTACGAGGAAGGCCCAAAACAAAGTCTATACTGATGTCGACCTATGGCTGGTTAGGAATGGGCAGTTGCATATACAACCCTGCATTCGTTGCACCCTTAGACAATTAACACACCCTACAATTCTCTACAAAATTAGTGATTTCGCGTCTTATAGATGGCCAGAAATAAGAATATGACACTAGATGTCCAATGCTTGAGGGCTTGAACAACAGCATAAAATTCCACATCATATGTGTTGTAGTTCATTTTCGACCCATTCAATGTCTCACTGTAAAATGCTACAGGTCGTCCCTCTTGGCTCAACACAACCCTAATACCCACTTTCGATGCATCACAATGCAACTCAAATGGCTTGCTAAAATCAAGCAAAATGAGAACTGGTGCACTGATAAGTTTCTCTTTGATATTGTGAAAAGCCGCCATAGCCTCCTTGATCAATTTAAGTTTTCCAATCTTCATACAGTTTGTTATAGGAGCCATGATAGCACTAAAATTATGAATAAAGCGTCTATAGAAAGAGACTAATCCATGAAAGCTTCGAACATCATGCAAATTTTATGGTACTGACCAATCTTTAATTGCTGCAACCTTGGATTCATCCACAAAAATCTCATCTTTTAACACAACAAACCTAAGAAGTGCATTTTTGTCCAGTGGACCAGTACTAGTCTCCTATATTCATTAAAATAGAAGTGCATTTTTGTTTACTAATCTCAAATGGTGGTAATGCTCACCACCCTATTTATAATCAGCAGATGAGTTTAAGTTTTAAGATTTATACCTATTCACTACACAAATCTCGAAATTTAAACTCATCTGACGGCAATAAATATGGTGATGAGCATACACCATAATTTATAGTGATAAGTAAAAATGCTCCCTTAAAATGAATGAAGATTCTTTTCGGATCTTATTTGTGAGGATCCCAAGGATTCTCTAATCATGTTCATTCATCGTATATCGTGCGGTCAAAAATCAATTTAAATTTTATATTTAAAATTGAATATAAATAGTACTTAATGAAAACTGACTGTGCAATTTATGACAAAGGAACACAATTAAAAGATTTCCTGAATTCTCACAAAGAGGATCCGAACAGGATCCTCATTCCCTTAAAATAGTTACCACGAGAAAATATGCCCGCGCGTTGCTGCGGGACTTAAATACACCCGCCTTAACTGCATAAATAAGACATATTTAACCTGAATAAATTAAGACACATGCACCATGCACTCGTCTCTCAATTATAAGAAAACTTGTTTGCAATACTGAGAGAAAGCTTATTATTGTTGATAAAATGCACACTACACCAATGGATCATGCCATAAAAATTACACGTACACCAATGGATCATGCCATAAAAATTACACCATGAAAAATCCAGAGACCAAAATCCCCGCCGGCAGAATTTATTCACATCAAATTTAAATTCTAACACCATCCGATCAAATGTTAATCAAACACACAATCTCAAAAAGCCGAAACCATGTTAAGCAAAAGAAACAGAAGGAAAAAGAGTGAAGATGTAAGCATTGATAAGAATATGAAAAGTGGCAGCACTGATACCATGCACAGATAGGACAATGAAATATCGGAACCATCAGCAACAAATAGAACCAAGGAAAAGGATTGATAAAATAAACAAATAAGAAATAGGGCAGAGGCACAAACCAACGACATGAGCTCAGCTTTTTCACCATGAATTTTGCATGGCCTGAAATCAAGAAAATGATGTGTTTACCAGGATTTTGAAGTGGACGCCTGCAGTCCGAATGACAACGATCATCCCTCTTTTGATGGTCCAGAACCGACCCAGGACACTCATACGAAATCCAAAAAGGCAGCATTATCTGGAAAGAACATGCGAAGCCGTTAACAACGAAGTAAATATATAGTTCCATAGATGCAAACAAAATAACACTATGGCATGATATTTGATTAAGATCAGTCTCTACCAATTTGATGGCAAAAACACACCTCTCCTATACGGGAATTAACCTAACCATTTAACGAAAAAAAGACGAAAACCCATGCGGGAATGAACCTAACCACACTGCATGCACTCACATAAACTGCATACACATACACTCACACACACCGAAGAATGAACGCATTATATTCAGTTAGCACCATTCAACTTTAAAAGCAGTGAGACCTTCCAAAGGCACAGCCCAACTGGCCTCGGTTCAAATAACCAAATTGAGAACAACACTTCAATTTAGAAAAGCTGTACAGAGGGAAAACTAAAAAGAAAAGAAAAAAGAGACAAAACAATCCTATAACCACAACTGAAAAACAAAATCAAAATGAACAGAATATATCAGCAGCGCATGAACACTAACTAACATCCTTTGGAAACATGTGCTGGTTACGTATAATATATATGCGCATAAATTAAGAAAATGGCTTGAGCGCCCTAGCAGTGGTCTTTACGCTGAACCAAATGACTATTAGGTTAATTGTATTGATTCACGCATCTTCTTTTATGTCTAAATCTCTACTAAATTGCCCTACGAAAATGACATAAAACTAATTAAAATCCCCAATATATATGAGAATACAACTTTTAAAAATGTGAGAATATATGCAGCACCAGGATGTTGCAGAACTCACTACCCCAACTTAGGATTCGGTTTTTGTCCAATGTATATATATGCTTAGATACATCTGAGAATTTGCTTTGCAACAGTTGCTACTCTCATCGTCCTTTGAGAGAGATAGATACAAAGGTAAGGATTACAATGGGGAATAGTTAAGAATCCCTCTAAAATACTAAAGAAAAACATACCTAGAATGGAGTAAACAACTGTTTGTCTCCTTAGTAGTTTCTCGCATTAATGTTGTCAGAAAGATAGTGCTCCACTCCAGAAGGATAGACAAATGTACTAGATGGAGACTGACCCAAAGAAAACATAATTATAAGTTAGCTTCTCATGAACAATTAAGGTGATGCAAAAGGGCAACACGTGATGTGAAATTATTATACCAAAATATCCAAGGTCTGTTAATCTAATCACCCAATAAAACAAAACAGAAATTAAGCACAATAATATCAAAATTAAAAGGAAGGAATAACATGAAACCTTGTGCATAGAACGTTCATGTGAGAATGAATCACACAACAATTAAGGGTGGACAAATCACAAAAGTGACACTTAAAGGGCACCTAACGGACACCCCCATCTTTCTCAGCAATCGCAGAAATCACTCGGGTTTGAGGAAGCAAATGGAAAACGAAATGTTTTTCCATCCCCTACCCATACCCAACCTCCCTTACCCGTTCCCTTTACCCTTGCAGAAAATCCTCCCATCTCTCTCTCACCCTTGTCCCATCTCTCTGTCTGCAAATCGTAGAAAAGAAACTGTGAACACGGAATTTTCCTGAAACGAAAGAGATAAGAAACACGTGTACAAAATAATATTTGTATTGATGATTTAGGGGTTACAATCTCTTCTACAAATTTAGCCTCTGATTCTATCTTTGCAATGGGTGGATTTGATGTTGTTGGTCTAAAGGGCCGTCGGGGCTTGATCTTGGGATAAACAGTTGTGCAAATTTGTTGTCGTCGTGGATCCAAAGGGCCGTCGGGGCTTGATCTAGGGATGAACGAATGATGAACGATGGACACTTTCTTCAAGGGCCGTCGGGGCTTGATCTTGAATCAGCGGAAGTTCTTCAAGGGCCGTTGGGGCTTGATTTTGAATGAGGATTTGACGAAGAACGAAGAGAGCTTTCTTGATCCTTCGGGATTTGCTTGGGAGCTTTTGAGTTTCAAAGCTTCAAGGTTTTGATATGAGGTGAATTGGTTATGAATCGGTGTCCTCCAAATGAATGCCTTGGCCTTCTATTTATAGAATTCCAAAACTTGATTTTTTGGATTTAAATAATTAGATGGCATAAATCATCTCTGTCAGGTGTTGACACGTGTCCTGTTTGATGACTTTTCCGATTTATTTTGATTTTTCGTTTAGTCACATGCTATGTGTAAAATTTATGTGACACATAAACATTGAAATTTTAATTTTTGATCAACATTTATTTTACTGAAATTTCGATGTCTACAAATGCCCCCACTTCAAGGCGCGTCGTATACATGTGCTTGTCACGTGTAGAAGATGCGTTTTGAAGTCCCTTATTGTAGATGTTGATCCAAGGGCCATTCGAGGCTTGATCTTGAATTGGGCTGGAGATTTCTTCAAGGGCCGTTGAGGCTTGTTCTTGAACTTTTGTTTGAAATTTCTTCAAGGGCCGTTGAGGCTTGATCTTGAAGGTTGAAATTGGACCACAAGGAGCTTCATGTGGTAGATGATATTTTTTCTTTGGTAGTGGGTGAATCGGCACGTATTTTGTTACACTTATTGACTTTCCACAGCTTTGATCTTGAACTGGTTCGGAGGATTTTCTGGTTTCTTCCAATTGTTGACTTTCCACAGCTTTGATCTTGAACTGGTTCGGAGGACTTTTTTGGTTTCCTCCAATTGTTTCCACAGGCTTATTCTTGAACTGGGTTGGAGGATTTTCTGGTTTCCTCCAATTGTCGACTTTCTACAGTTTATTCTTGAACTGGGTTTGATTCAAGGGTGATGGACACTTAATCTTGAATCGGACTTGTGATTTCCTCAAGGGCCGTCGAGGCTTGATCTTGAATTTGGCTGGAAACTTCTTCAAGGGCCGTTGAGGCTTGATTCTTGAAGGTTGACTCGAACATATTGCAAGCAGGCACGAGGTGAAAGTGACGACTTGTTGCTTTGTTCAATCTTTCTAATTCACACCTGAGCAGTTTGGTTAACGGTATGATCTTCAAGATTGATGGGCTTTTCTTCCAGTTGGTGACTTGATCTTTAAGGATTTGATTCAAGGGTGGTAAATCGGCACGTGTAGCTCACAACGTCTAGCGGGTCGACCCAAGAATTTGAGGGTCAAAACAGGTCCACCAAACCCAGAGTGATTGCAACCCTAATGATATGAGATACTTTTGATTTTGAAGAAGTAACGGATGAATCGACTCGTGTTTTGTTGTGCTTGTCTCTACATGCTTCAATGTATCATTTTCCCTTGCCTTATTTGTTCTTCAGGCAGATGTGGTATTTTCTCTAGAAGCATAAGATGTTGAAACAATGGATAGTGCTAGGTAAGCAATCAGGGAAGGGTTCCAAGCAGTTGGTTCCAGATCGGAAGTTTGATACCAAGTGCTGTCTAATTGCTTTCTTTCTCCTTGTCTCGCAGGTAAAAACAAGGACAAAGAAAAGGATAGGGAGAAAGCATGATATGAAATACTCTTGCTTTCGAAGAAGTGGTGGCGATTTGACAGCGTTGCACAGCGAGGCTTTGTTCTTCGACGATAGTGTCGCCAATATGTTTGTTGAAACTTCTCGAGCTCTTGGATTCATCTCAGACTCCTTCTGCTGGTTTGGTTGATTATGCTAGGAAGGGAGACTTGATCTTGAAGGAAATCAGCACGTTGTCTCCACATGCTTCAAGGTATCATTTTCATTTGCCTTATCTGCTCTCCGGGAAAATATGGCATTTTTTTCGGAAGTACATCAGCAACTGAAGATGAGTACTCAAGAGCAAAGCCAGGTAAGCAATCGGGCAAAGGTTCCCGGTAATCGGTTCCTTGCCCGGAGTTTGAGTGGAGGTTCCGACATATTGTTTTCTTTATCCTTGTCTTTGCAGGTAAGAACAAGGACAAAGGAAAAGACAGGGAGAAAGCATGATATGAGATACTCTTGCTTTCTACCCTGGTGATATGAGATACTTTTGCTTTGGGTGTCATTTGTTTGCAGAGGTACTCCAGGAGAGGAAGAAAACTGGGTATTTCGAGAGGCTCTGCTGAAAGTGTACTCTCAGAAATAAGGAAGGGTTAGGCATTTTTTGCAGGTCTGCCTTGCTATGGACGGTGAAGGTGGACAGTTATAGGAAGTTCTTTATACCTGTAGAGGTACTATTCTTTCACTCGTGTTGGCAACCATTGAGTGATTGATTAGTATGGCTCTACGCGCTTTCTTCTTCATAAGAAATCTTCGACAAATTGCCCGTAATTTCCGCAAAGCTAAGTGTGCATGTGACAGGTGCTGACGAGGCTGAAAAAGACTGGCGCCTCTTCGATATATGAGATTGGCGCTTCGACAAATTATCCGTGATTTTCGCAAAGCTGAGTGTGCACGTGATTTTCGATATCTGAGATCGGCCCGTGGTTTCTGAGCAGCCCAGCTTTTGAGAAAGCAGACGTCTCTTCGATCTCTGAGCTTGCCTCTTCGATTTCTGAACTTGCCTCTTCGATTTCTGAAAGTGCTGATTTTAAAAGAGAGGCACGCATCACATTCCCAAGCATACTTGAATTTTCCGCCTGTAGAAGCTCCTTACTTGCACTTCTAAGAACTTGATTTGTCCGACCTCTTCTTTTTCTTCACACATTCGAAAATGTCTTGCCCTTCTGACCGTCGTCTTAACTTGAATGTCGGGGAAGATAATGACATATCTTCTTCAAACAACATTTGGCAGCCGTCCTTCGTATCTCCCAATGGTCCTCTTACAGTTGGGGATTCTATGATGATGAACGATACAACCGCTTCGGTGGTGGCCAGAAATCTTCTCACTCCTAGAGACACTAGGATGCTTTCCAGGCGGTCCGACGAACTGGCTGTTCAGGACTCTCTGGCCTACAGCGTCCGATGTGCAGGTTCAGTTTCAAACATGGGCCAACGCCTTCTTGCTCGATCTCGTCAGGTTGAGTCGTTGATGGCTGAGGTGGCCAGTCTTCGGCAAGAGGTCAGGGTGCTTAGACATGAGAATAAAGAGTTGCACATGCTCGCAACTAATTACTCAACAAGCATGAAGAGGAAGCTTGACCAATTGCAGGAGTCCGAAGTTCGGATTCAGAGTGATCATCAGAGGTTTGTGACGTTACTCCAGCGGTAACTTCTGCCTTCGTCCCCTGGCGCTTCACCAAGTGTTGAAGCTCCGGATAATCAATCTCTGGTGCTTCGTCTTTCTGGAGCTCCGCCGAGTGATGAGGTGCCACCTGATCATCCTTGAAGATCCCTTCCTGTAAATTTGATTTGACTTTTTTTTTTTTTTTTTTTTTTTCAACATACTTGTAATTAATTTTTTTTTTTGAAGATATCAATGGACTTGCTTTACTTTATTCAGTATGTTGTGCTAAAACATATATCTGACTAAGATGTGTTACTCTTTTTTTTTTTTTTTTTTTTTTTATTTTTTTAGTTTTATTTAGATGGTACTTGATGCGCACTATTCTTTTACTCCCTATTTTTTAGACGGAAATTCGTCGTCTTCCCCCTGCTTTCTTCCCTTCAATTATTCCGTCTCCATCACCTATTTCCTCTTTCATACTTGCGGATAGTAACGTACACCATGACCTGCCTTTCTTGTTTTTTTCTTTTTTTATCATTTCCTTTTGGATGGTGCCTGTCAATCACTTCTTTTCTTTGCTTTCGGTGGCTGGTCACCATTTGAAAACCCTTTTTTTTCTTTATATATGGTGCTTTGTAGGGATGGAACTCGACGGACGGTGAGCTGTAGTCGAGGCTTCATGACCGGCTAGTCGTTTGACGGCGGTTCATTGAAGTTTTTTCGTCGTTGTTGTTTGTCACGGACGAAGAGAAGGCCTTTGGGTGTGAGTTGACAAACTTTGGTTTTGTCAATCACATTCAAAGGCAGTAGCCATGGCGGAGGTGCAGAAGAAGAAGCTCTACCACTACCGTTACTGAGCATAGCCACTGAGCACCACTACTGAGCATAGCCACTGAGCACAGCCACAACATTTTTTTATTATTTGTTTTTTTTTATTTTTTTTATTTTTTTTATTTGCTGCCTTGCAGTGAACAAGACGGACGAGAAGCTGTAGGAGGCAAAAGATGGGGAGAAGGCAGAGAGGAGCCTGGTGGATGAAGATGGTGGCTTAGTGGCTGCGGAGGATTACGTGGGCGGCCATGGAAGAGCGAGGCCCTGTCGGTGCAGCTCTGTGAAGAACGCCCCGCCCCAACACTCGATGCCACGCTTGCCGTGCACATGATGTTCCCTCTCACGCCGCCATCTCGCGGACGTTGACCGCCATGAGCTTGTCGTAGTTGGAGAGGGAGGTGGACGGAAGAGGACGAGAGCAGCAAAGGCTTAATTCAATTCAATGTTTTGATTCGAAGGGGTGAAGACTGAAGAGCCGCCATTAAAGCTTTAAGCTTGGGGCTTGTCCCACTTGAGTGGCTTGACAAACTCCCAGGTGAAGTCGGGGTCATCCCTCCCGAAGTGTCCGTAAGTGGCGGTCTTAAAAAAAAAACTTCCATTGCCACCCCTCTTGAGGTCCAGGTTGATGGAGATCATGCCTGGCCTGAA